ATTTAAAGTCCCCCTGTAGTCAAATATTTTATCCCTTAAAACTTATCTTTGATCATCAAAATTACATATTTAAATGGTTTTTTTCTTGTGAAAATAATTTTCTCATTCCTTAAAATAGCTTGAATGCAACTCTACACCCTTGCCTCATTTACTATACGCTGATATATGAATATGCAAATTAGTCCCGCCTCCACTCAGTCACACCAGCCAGCGCCTCCTGATCCACTGAACTGTAGTAAACGCAAAACAATGGTATACACGGATAATGACTGATAAAACAATCTTTTTACTAGCGGACAACTACAGTGACTACTGTAACACTCGTTAAAGTTACTTACTTGACGATGTTGTGTCCTAAAATGCCTTGAAGAGCTGCGGGAGAGGTGGGTCTGACTCCGGGCTACTTTTACACTGTTGCCACGGGTTATAATGCAAGTTAGGGTTCTAAATTCACGTTAAACCACAGCTTCATGGGATTTTTGCTTTAATTTATTTTTGGTTTTGTGCTGGTATTGGTATATTTTGCATGCTAGTGATAGGAATCGATCCCTTGACGTGATTGGTTATTGGTTTGTGACGTAGCAAACCGAGGGCTGTTTCAAACTGTATTTCTGGGTCAGCCTTTGGGAAACTACAGTTTTAAGGAGAAAATACTCAGCAAACTCAGGTTTGTCTAAAGGCATATTAAAAACACCATATAGACAAATAAACAACATAACTTGATTTTCACTACAGGGGGACTTTAAGGATCATGTGACACTGAAGACTAAAGTAATAACTAAGTTACTGAAGTTACCAAAAAGGAAATAGTGTGATTTTTGTTAGAGGTTGACACCTCTGTCACACATCCTTACAGTTTTGAATCTATACATCCTCAAACTGTTTCTCTCTTTCTCACTTTGCTGTTCATGCTCACATGGTCAGTGAGGCCACATGCCTGTACGCCACCCTTCCTCTGCTCTTCTTGGAGCAACTGAGAGAAGCTCAGAGATCTCTAATCTCCTGCAGTATTGAAATACCGCACAGTCCAGAGAGAATCAGAGAGAGAAAGAGAGCGCAGTCATTGCATACTTTTGAGGAGATAGCGATAGATCTCATTAACCCCACCTGTAACACCCCAGTGCCTCCACACTCTCATTCTCCATTAAACTGAGAAGAAACACTGTCTCTGGAGAACATGCAGATCATTCTCTCTTGCTTTAAGAGAGTTTGTGTTTAACGCTTGCTGATTGATCTCGACAGCTGTTGAGATGATTTATTGAAAGCTGTGGGTGTTTTTAAATGTCTTTTAGATTGTCATTTATCAAAATTGCATTTTAGCATGTAATCTGAGTGATACTGAAAGTTCATGAATTTTCCAGTTATGCTTGTAATGTCCAGACGAGTGGTATGGCTTTTTTTTTCTCCACTGTTTTCTACCCACTTCTTTTTTATCTATAAGTGTCTCTCTCATCCTACATCACTGTTCTCACTTTACTTGTTTTCTCTGAAATAAGATGTGCTTTCCTCTCAGTTAGCACATGTATGCATGATTGACTTCATCTGTTCTTGCTTTTCTTGCTAGCTCTTCCTCTTTTTAGTATTATTGTTATTATGCAGCTGATGTTGCGGTGTTTCTTCTTTGTGACAAAGATGAGGGCAATGTCATGACAATGGAGAGGAAGCATCATCACACTTATATATGAGTTGTTTTATTTATTTATTAATTTATTGGTCTCTTTTTTTTTTTTTTTTTTATATTGTTTTTTG